ATGTCTTTGCCCCCGAAGGTCGCGTTCAAATGCCCGGAACGGACGTACAGTGGTGTCCGGCCGGCGCGATCACCGAGCTGTGACGCAGGGCAGGGTTTGCCCCCAACTCGCGGGCAGGGTTGATTGATTGATTGCAGGGTTTGCCCCCAACTCGCCCCGGCTTTTTTTAAATACTAGCAGGTTGGCTCGCTAGTCGCTCGCCGGGCCCGCGCAGCACGCGCGGGCCTTTTTTGTGGTTGATAAAGGTGGCACCATCGACATTGCACTTGGAGCACTTGGAGTGCATTGCGTTTCTTTTCTTTATATACGGGCTGTCCTCCTATATTTAGGATTCCTAAGCTTAAAGGCCCGCTAAACGCGCGAGGCGGTGGCGGCGGTGGTGCGGGGGATTGGCAGGGGAGGCGGCGGGATTGACAGGGGATGGGGCGGCCACGAGCGGAGCGGCGGCGAGAGGGGGGGCGGCGGCGAGGGCGCGACAGAATGCGCCATCGAGCGAGGAGCCCGCGCCATCAGAGGGACGCGCCGCTGCGAGATGGAGGGCGGCGGTGACGGAGGCAAGGCGCGAGGCGGCGGCGGCGGCGGCGGCGGCGGCGGCGGCGGAGGCGGCGGCGGCGGCGGCGGCGGCGAGAACGGCGGCAGGAGGAGGAGCAGCTCGCTGTTTTGAGAGCGCTTTTGAGCCTGGGATCCCATGCCACTGCGACCGGCGTGCCCGGGAACAGAGATCGCGCGCGCGCCGCCACTCACGACGCGCGCGCGATCTTCGCGGAGTCGGGTCCCCAGAGGGAAACGGTCTTCTCGGCCGACGTCCAGCGGCGCGCAAGGACAGGCGCAGCGGTGCACCGCGGCGCGTTGATTCGCGACCACCGTCGGCCGCGGACGGCGGCGGCGTGGCGGCCGCGGGCGCTCGCGAGACGCGCCGCTCTGCGCTGGTACGGTTCGTTCGACTCGTTGTGCCGCCGCACGCCCGGCGGCCGCGGGTCCCAGAAGTGGTTGCGCGGGCCTCTTCCTTACAGCCGCGGGACGGCGTCGGGCACGTCGTCGGTCGCAACAGATGCGCGGCGAGCCGCGGCACGTCGTTCCTGGCGCTGGTGGTTTGAGGTCGGCATCGTCCAGAGTTCGGTCGACGAGTCGAGAGCTTCAGCTGGCCGAGGGTGCCACCTTTATGCGCGAAATGGGAAATATATCTCTTTGATGCAGTCGGCCGCCCCGGCACGCGCGCGTAGGAGCGACGCGCCGCTCTGCGCTGGCGGTTCGTTCGACTCGTTGTGCCGCCACACGCCCGGCGGCCGCGGGTCCCAGAAGTGGTTGCGCGGGCCTCTTCCTGGCGGCCGCGGGACGGCGTCGGGCACGTCGTCGGTCGCAACAGCGGCGCGGCGAGCCGAGGCACGTCGTTGCTGGCGCTGGTGGTGAGGTCGGCATCGTCCAGAGCTCCGTCGACGAGTCTAGAGCTACAGCTGTTTAGGGTGCCACCTTTATGACCTTTATGCGCGAAATGGGAAATATATCTCTTTGATGCAGTCGGCCGCCCCGGCACGCGCGCGTAGCGCCCGAGGTGCGAGCTTGCTCGGCACCTGGGCGGGACGCGTCCACACGCCGCGGCGCTCGCGTGCGCTGGCGGCGCTCGCGTGCGCTGGCGGCACTCGCCCGCGCTGGCGGCGCTCGCGTGCGCTGGCGGCGCTCGCCCGCGCTGGCGGCGCTCGCCCGCGCTGGCGGCGCTCGCCCGCCACCGCGCTGTCGCGGCAATCGCGGTGCTCACCGCGCCAGCGATGTGGTCGTTCAAGCACTGCCCTGCCCGGCACAACCAGGCTAGTGAAACCCGCGGCGCTCCTGTGCTCGCGACGTGCCCGCGCTGCGCGTCGGTCGCGACCCGCAATAAAACCACCCCGGGGCCAACCCGCTTCGGTTTCGTCGCCAAGAGTGTACTCTTGGGCCCCGAACCCGAATAAAAAAACGTGTACCTCCCTTCGAGTGTATCTCGAGTGTTGCTATGGAGCGTCCGTTTCAACACGCGCTCGCGCGCTTGCGTCTGCTGGCCCCCAGAGAACATGTTGCACCACATGCTCCCGGCGGAGCCCAACTGCTCGCACTCGACAAGGCAGTCCATCCACTCGCGGCAGCTGAAGTCGAACTTCCACTCGATGCGGCTCGCGCCGGGTTGTGAGCTCGGCGAGCGAGGTCGGAGAGCGACCTCAGTTGGCCCAAGCCGCACGCCACTGAGGCAGAGCGGCCGTGCGCGTACGACGCCGTACGCGCACGGCCACTCTGCACCGACCGCAGCGCTGCATTGCGACCGCAGAGGCTCAGCTCAGCCAGGGCTCGCTCGCCCGAGCTCGGAGCCGCCGGCGGTCATGGGCAGCAACAAAGGTTTGACGCGTCGCTCGGTGCAGGAGGGCACTGCAGTAGAGGTGCAGAGGCCGTCCGGCACGCGCGCGATGGGCTACGGCTTCATTGGCAGCTACCAGAGCGCGTCTGGAGCGCTGCCATTGTGTGACCCACGTCCAAGCGGCGCTTCCGGCCTGTTCCGCGCCTCTTTTCACGCTTTTCATTGGAGAGGGGGGGACGAGGTCTCATCAACTTCGAAACCGCCTTTGAAAGGGGGGAAATGCGTCCGTCCCTGAGCGGGTTGAGGCGGGGGTGGTTTTATTGCGCTACGCGCCGGCGCTCGGCGCACCCAAGTCCAATCTGGAGTTGATCGTTGCTTCCCTTTCGCGAGGCGGTGCGGACTGCCGGAGGCCTCGGTCTCCCCTCTGCCCGTGCGACTTTCGCTAACTCCCGCGAGCGTAGATCGTCTCTCTTCGGCGCGCTCGAGCACGTGTGGCACCAAGAGGCTTTGATTCTTACGACCCTCACCCGCCAAGGCAGGTGTGCACTCTGCTAGTACTTGTGTACTCACACCACTACACTATGGGGTGTGCCCGAGCATGATGTATGTGCGCGTCTGTGTGTGTGTGGGACAGACGTTGTTGTCCTATGCGCGGGGCTTCCCGCGGGGACCGAAGACGTAACAGCAGCAGCAGCAGCAGCAGCAGCAGCAGCAGCAGCAGCACGGGTCGAGATAGCCGTCGCGAGACCTAAACTCGAAAATAAAATGGTGAGTTCGCCGACTCGAGTACGGTGCCTTTTATCAAACCATGCTGCGGGGTTACAAGTTGACAACTACGTCGCCACACCTTCCGCATCCATAGCGGCCGGTGGTTGCTTCTCCGGTGCTTGACGGCTGTCGCGGAGCCCGACAGCCGCGACAGCGGCGGCCGGGCAAGGAGGCGGCCGAATGGGTGCTGCTCGTCGAGCCAGCGGCTGCCGCTGGCGACGAGGGGGGTCCGGACCCGCGGGTGGGGCGGGTGGTGCACCGGCTCGATGCCGGGCGAGCGCAGCGCCCTCCAGTCGGAGCGGCTCGGGCGAGCGAGGCGGTGGCTCTATGGGCGTTTAGAGGGTCGCCCATCGCTTCTCGCAACTCCGCAACGCTGACTTTGGCACATCGACGATACAGCCTCGAATATTTCTCAGATTTATTTTGCATGACCTTGAGCACTTGAGCACTGGATAGGGTCGGTTCCGCATGGTACGGGACCCCTCGATCGTCTCGCCCTCCCTCACTGGTGTGTTCATTGGGGGGGTCATAACAAACACGGTACAGGATCGACCGAGGTGCACGCTGCCGAGGCAGTGTCGTCCCCCCTCTCCCCGACGGCGATGGCGGTGTGACCGATCGAGCTACAAGAGGAGCTTGTTCAGCAGGATCCGGGTTAGGCTGGCGCACTGCCTCACTGGGCCTGAGTGCATGACCTGGATACCGATCATCCGGCCCGCTGGGTGCGCTTCTCAGCTCCCCGGCCCTGGATGTGAGGCTAATGACTGCACTCCAAGTGCTCCAAGTGCTCCATACTGTCGGACCTGGTAGCAACTAAATAGCATATGCCATATGCGATATGGGCCACATATTATCCTATTGTGCTTCTCCGTTCTCGCGACATTCTACTTCTTTCTAGTCGGGCTCGGGGCGCCCCCCCTCCCCCCACGGGGCGCACGGGGAGGTGCGGCTGTCGTTCGCGAAAAAACGAAAGATAAAAATCAACTCATACGGTGCCGGCGGCCCATCGGCTGTAAACCCCCATGGGCAAATCGCGCCCCCCTCCGCGTGCGCGGAGGAGCATCTCGCCCCGCTCGCAGCGGCCCCGCACCGCTGACGCGCCACGCGTGATCTCGCGGAGCTGCCCGTCGAGCGCGGCGACGGGCCACCTGCGCGGGCGGCACGCGAGGCTCTGTCGAGGCTCTGCCGAGTCTGTGTGCCTCTTGGATCGCCCCATTCCCGCCCCAATGGCAATCGTGACCGGCACGCGGGGCTCGCGCGCCTCGGGTCGTGCGCCGAGAGGAGCACGAAGCTCGGATCGTCGGAGAGGACCTCGGCGAGGAGGCCTGCCGGCGCACCGCCGTCGATCTCGGCCAGATCTTGGCTGGTGCCGCGAGCGCCCGACGCGGGGCGGGGGCGGGGGCGGGGCGGGGCGGGGCGGGGCGGGGTGGGCGGACGG